AAAAAAAAAAAAAAAAAAAAAGAAAAAAAAAAGAAAAGGAAAAAACTAAACAAAAATCCCTCTAGGTAGTTTAGGTGAAAAGTGTCCCTTTTATTTTGGCTTTGGTTGTGATTTCAGAGCATAATGCTTTGTTTTTTTGTCTTTTTACCATGTTTTTCGGATTTTTAAGTCCGTAAGTGCATACACTTTTCTCTAATTTTTAAACCCTTTCCTCCCATTTTGACATTTGCACTTGGAAAACACGAGTTGCGAAGGTTTTGGGTGTCTACCCCAGAAAGTGGGAATTTGATTTTTCCCTTCCGAACTGGAAGAACATTTTTATGAAGAATTTTTGTCTAGGAAAATTTAACAGTGTTACCCAAGGTTGTGTCTTTAAGGGTGGTTCATTTTCTCTGACCCTTTGTTACGCAAAGTAAAGTACTAGGAGTCCTAAGAAATGTTCTGTTCTTGTACATTATACTGATTAAGTCAAGATTAATTTGATTTCAAAGCTAAGAACAGTGGTTAAAAACTCGTTTTCAGAAATGCATTTTTGGAAGAGAAAAATATTGTAAAATGTGTAGTGAATGTTTCTTCAGTTTCTTGTTCAGCCAATGAGGAAAGGGCATCGCCTTTCTTTTTACCATTAATCACTTCTCAATAAACGTGAGATCCTGTTGAGCATCACTTCCAGTACCACTTAGTGTTATTTGACTCTGCTATATTTTTTGAAATATTTTTGGATATAAGGAATTTGAAGAGGTGAGGTAGCAACTAATTTTTAAGAATTTGTATTGAGAAGAAGTAGTTCAGACTTGCTTTTTGTACCAGGGCTGGATAGCCATGACCTATAAACGAAAGCGGGCCAATATTCATAGTGCTATCTTTCTGGGTACCACCCAGAGAAGATAAAGCCGCTGCTAAATCATTCAGTATGAATAGATATTTGTGTTTTTAAGTGCCAAGCACTGTGCTAATAACCCATAGAAATCTGGCCGTCTATCTTTAAAGGAGGCAGCACACAAGATTTATTTAATCAGAATATGGTTTATTTAGACAGTATTCCATATGGATGCAGGTCCCAAAAAGAAATTCCAGCGAGCTTGTGTTGATGAATCTTAAAACTGCAGTGGCATTTGATTGATTCTTGTTTATTCACCAAGGTTTAAGGCTTCTCTGCCTTAAAGAGTTTTAGCTCTTAAGATGTGTCCCAGTTTTGTAGAGCTAAATGTTTGAAAACATCTATACTAAGAGGGTTCTTAAAGTGTGTTTTAATACTGTTGGACAGTTATGTCCTTAAATGACTTACTCGTCCTGTTATATACAGCCCAGGCTGCCAAGTCAAGGATGCCAGTAAAATAATTTCCAGTTAGAATTATGGTAAACACTGTCAGTGAAGAGCATTTGCATATCAGAGGCACTGTACAGTGCTCTGGACATTTGGTCTGCCAAGATTTAAAAATACATTTCCCCAAATTGGGAGTTCTTTGGTGTTTTCTTTAATTTGAATATGTCAGATTTCTCAGGAAGATTTCACTTTTAGTCCTGACTTCTGTGACTTCTTCAGGACTCCCTTGGGCTTGTTGAATATTTAGCCTTCAAAAGGGAAAATACCCAGAGAAAAGCAAATTCAAAAGCAATTTTACCTAGGATTTCCCATGCTGAATTCAAGTTGGGTAAGAAATTATTCAAGAATGTTTTGCAGTTTGAAATGGTAGCACCTTCCTTGGTAGTTTATTTAAGACAGTGTTTCCCATTCTTATCACATGTAGAAAAGACTTAATTTGGAAATAGATTGGATGGAACTGGATCTCCTAACAAGGTGGCTCATCTAACCAGCCCTGATTATTGAAGGGTTCAGGATCTTGGACTTGTGTATCAAAACAGAAAAGCCTCCATTGTCTTTTTTTTCTATATAGTATTTTAAAAATGAGACTGTTAAGAGGTAGGTCTAAAACTTAGTGTAGTGAAGACCTCAGAATGCAGCTAAACTAGGTCTTTTATTTACTAAAGACAACTTTGCCACTGGGAATTTTTAACTCGACTATTTCTCAAGACTTCTGTTATTTGTGAATATTCTAACTTTGGCTACCTGTATTTACTTTTTTCCTTTGTTGAAGATGAGGGGGAATTAAACAATCTTAGCACATACTATTAGTGACAGAATTCAGGTAATTTTAAACCTTTTAAATATGAACAAAATGAACTGGGTGTAGTGGTACATGTCTGTAATCCTAGCACTTGGGAGGCTGAGGAGGAGAGGAACCCTGTGCGTTTGAGGCCAGCCTGGATTCTACAGTGAGTTCAAAGGCCAGTTTGAGCTATATGTATAGTGAGACCTCGTCTCCCTCCCAGAAAAAAAGTAAATCTCACATTTGATACAGTTTCAGCTACATTTGATTGATTGGCTGTGAACTCACAACATGTTGCATTTTTTACTTTTTAAAAATTTTAATTTTTTTTTTTTTTTTAGACAGGGTCTTACAGTGTAGCTCAGGCTTGCCTTGAGCTCACAGCAATCCTCCCTAGCCTTTGGAGTGCTGAAACTACAGGGGTGTGCTGCCATGCCAAGTTTTCATGTTTTGCTTTTTAATATTTACTTTGAAGTAATTGTGGTCTTTTGCAGAAATAATAAGAGAATCATACCCTCACCTTTCTCCATATTTTTTTTTAAATTGGTATATTTTGTTTTATTTTTTGGTTTTTTTAAGACACTCACTTTGTAGTTCAGGCTGGCCTTGAACTCGGGGTGATCCTCCTGTCTCAGCTTCTGGAGTGCTGGGAGTACAAGTGTGCACCACCACGCCCAGCCCTTCCTCCAAATGTTAACATTTGCATAATCATAGTAAAATGATCAAAACTAGTAAGTACTGACACAGTACTTTAGCTGATCTACAAACATTTGAATTTTACCAGCTATCACATAAGGTCTTTTTCTGCTTCAGTGTCCATCCAGGTTCCCACATTGCAATTGGTTGTCTTTAGTCTCCTTTAGCCCACAACAGTTCTTTAGTCTTCTTCTGACACTTGTGATTACTGGCCAGTTATTTTGTAGGATGCCCTTTGAATTGTATTTATCTGATGTCATTTTTAGATGGAGTGTTCTTCAGCAAGAGTGTCACGAAAGTACTGTGCCCTTTTCAGTACATTATATCTGGTTACTTGATGGTCATATGACTTGTTACTGATGTTAACTTTGATCACTTGGTTAAAGTGCTGTCTGCCGGATTTCTCCACTATAAAAGTATTGATTTTCCCTTTGTAATTAATGAGTAACTTGGTATAGTTTGAAACTATTATTCTTTGACCTACTAATTTTGGCATCTATGGATTGCTTTTGCCTGCAACAAATATTACCTTGGTGTTTACCAAGTGTTTAACTATTTCTCTTCCTACTACATTTACTAATTAGAGTTGTACTGTAAGGAAGATATTTCACTCTCCCTATTTATTTAATTACATCAGTATGGACCCATGTCAGTGCTATCATTTGTTTTGTTAGACTATCTCAGCTTTACATTCAAGTTTTGTTTTGTTTTTTTGTGTGTGTGGAGTGGTGCTGGAGGTCCAGCTCAGCCTGGTGCTTGACATTTGTTTTTTTGTAATGCTTCAGAATGTCCCAGGCTAGTGTATTTTCCCTGCCTTATCCCCATTTCCCCCAAGGAACTCTGGTTCCTTTTATTGGAGAATATTTAGAAGCCATTCATTGATACATTTTTTTAAAGCTATCTTTTAAATTGCAATGGCATATGAAGCTGTGCTTTAAAAATTACTAGCAGTGTAAATAGAGAATTACTTAGCCTAATCAAAGCACTTAACCACTTTATTCCCTTCCATAACGATATATATGAATGGCTCTTTTGGAGTTATGGAGAACATTTCTACTTGTCCTAGTACTTCACCTAGGTTTGGGGCTCAGTAAACATGGGTGTATAATAATTTCTACCTTTATCCCTGTAATTAAAATCCTCAAACGGAAGTCCTGGTTCCCACAGTTCAGACTCTTCAAGGTGTAGATCTTTTCCCATGAGACTGTAAATGGTCATGTACTTGATCGATCCATTTGCAATTTTTTTCTCACTGGGAAGCAATGCCACATTGCTACAATTGTCATTTTTCGCTAATGGGTTCCCAGAGTAGAATGCATTACAGCTGTGGGTTTGCACGTGGAATCCACCTGCTGCAAGTTTGGCACCTGCAGCGAGGATAAGGGAACTGGGGAAGCTCCCCCTGCTCCTCTGGGTGTCAGGGGCTGGGGCTCCCCGTCAGATTGTGGCAGTGTGGGCAGCCTGGCTGGCCCCTCGCAGATGGGGACAGACTCTGTTCCTCCTTTTCTTGGTTCTCTTCACCACAGCCTGTCCTTCTAGTCCACTCCCTGCCTGTGCAAAAAGCCTTTCCCATCAAACCCTCACTTTCCCAGGTGAGATTCGTCTTGTGAGAGACTGACAAATGGGTTTTGCACTACCCAGCTAATGGGGCAAAGATGACATTCATACCATGCATGTTTATTGCTTGCTTCAGCCTTTTCAGTAATGTTCAAAAGTGGGGTGGGCTAAGGGTTGGGAAAGCTGTTAGTCCCACCTTCTGGACATAGGGGCTGTTCATAAACACAGAAAGGAAAAAGTTGCATTGCCCTTCAAGGGGTAATACCCTGACAAAATTTCCAGTTTTGCTGCTCAGTCCAGTTTTTCGTGTCCCTCTGTTTAATTATTCACCCTGTATTCTGTGAGCTCCAGTTGTCGCTATTGTTGGTGCTATTGTTGGGTATTGGGGGAAGAAATAAAAAGGTTTTTCGCAGAATTCAATTTAAAGAATACCCTCTAATGGAGTTTGGTATTGTGGGGGTTAGAGTGCTTTAAGAACAGA